TTTGAACACTAGATCTTATTCCTTGTATCTAACTGTATTTTTGTACCCATTAACCAAACCATCGTCATCCCCCACTCCCCACTAGCCTTCTCGGTCTCTGGTAATCACCATTCTATTCACAATCCACATGAGATCAATCTTTTTGGCTTCTACATATGAGTGAGAACATGCAGTGTCTTTCTGTGCCTGGCTTATTTCTCTTAATGTCCACCAGGTCCATCCATGTTGTTGTAAATGACAGGATTTTGCTTTTTTTTAAGGCTGACATATATTTCACTGTGTATATATACTATGTGTGTATATATATATATATATATTCATAATCCATTCATTCACTGATTGCATGTATCAAAATATCACATATATACCATAAATATATATAACCATTATGTATCCATAAACATTAAAAATTAAAACTGTGAATATAGAGTAAAGTACACAGACTTTGTAAATGCTAAGTCAAATTCTACTTTTTAATTCTCCATATTTTCAGTGTCACTTTCTTTTGTTGTTGTTGTTGTTGCTGAGATGGAGTCTTGCTCTTGTCGCCCAGGCTGGAGTACAATAGTACAATCTCATCTCACTACAACCTCTACCTCCCAGGTTCAAGCATTTCTCCTGCCTCAGCTGCCCAAGTAGCTGGGATTACAGGTGTCCGTCACCACACCTGGCTAATTTTTGTATTTTTAGTAGTGACGGGATCACCATGTTGGCCAACCTGGTCTTGAACTCCTGACCTCAAGCAATCCACCCGCTTCGGCCTTGCAAAGGGCTGGGATTACAGGCATAAGCCACTGTGCCCGGCCTCAATGTCCCTTTGATATGGAGTAATAGGAAGAGGATGAGGTAGGTAGAATCAAGGATGGTGAAATTTTCAGTTTCCCACAAGCCACACAGGAGCTGATCATTTTAGAAAGCCACCCATTGGAATACATCAGCTGGAGAATGTTATTTTTAAGAAAAAGAAAGTAAATAAAAAACCAAACAATTTAATTTATCTAGAAAGAATTCAGCTTGGGTAGTTGTGCAGGACAGGTGTATGTATTTTATTTTGAAATGAATGCATTATGAAAAGATTGAATACGAAAGCCATGCCTGTTACCCTGAAAACATTATTCTTAAAGGAGCCATTAGGGAATGAGCCATGAGCTGAATAATGGATATGTATGTTCTTCTAATGGCATCACTTACGGCCGGTGTGATGAGGGCAAAAGTTATGCATATAGACTGCCTATACAAATGTTTGTATTCTAAATGTCTCTGTGCTCCAACATTGCCTGCCTGCCTTAAATCATCATTTCCTAGGTGTCCACTCTAAAAGCTTATCCCTCTTGCCCAGCATCTAATAGGTATTCTGGAAAATGCAACATGTTGAGACTACTAGAACTGCAGAGCTGGAGAAAACTTTAGCGATGTTCTTATAACCCAATTCTTACTCAATAACATTGATTTTTTCCTCAAATTATAAAATTAACATATGTTCATTTTAAGGAATAAGAAAATGAAACAACCTATAATTCAAATATCAGAGTTCTGAATTTCTTTTCAGTATTCTTTGAGGGGAGGAGGATGAGTATATATACGTGTGTGTGTGTGTGTGTGTGTGTATGTGTATGTATGTATATATGCACAAACTCACATGTACATTTTTAATCTTTCAAAATTGAGATCATATTGTAAGTCCAGTTTTTAATAATAGGTACATGGTGTGAATTTTCCCTTGTCAGTAAATATTCTTTAAAAACCATGATTTTAAAAAATAATGTAAGGCGAAATTTACATAACATAAAATTAACCATTTGAAAGTGAAGAGTTTAGTGGCATTTACTACCTTCACAATGTTGTGCAACCATCATCTCCATCTGATTTCAAAACATTCCTATCACTCCAAGGTAAAATTCCATACCCATTAAGCAGTTTTTCCTCATTCTTCTTTCTGGTAGCACTTGGAAACAACCAATTTGCATCCGGTCTCTGGATTTACCTATTCTGGATATTTTACGTACGTGAAACCATACAATATGTGAACCTTTTGTGTCTGACTTTTCACTTGGAATAATGATTTTGCGATTCATCCACCTTGTAGCATATATCAGTACCTCACTCTTTTTTATGGCAGAAAAATATTCCATTGTATGTATATACCGCTATTTATTCATTCATCCATTAACGGACATTTGGGTTGTTTCTTCTGACTGTTGCGAATAGTGTTGAACATATGTATACGTGTTCTTGTTTGAGTGTCTATTTTCAGTTCGTTTGGGTATATACCTAGAGTGAAAGATGCAGAATCATATGGTAATTCTATTTTTAGCTTTTTGAGGAAACACCAAAGTGTTTCCACAGCTGCTCTATCATTCTACATCCCTACCAGCAATGCATGAGAGTTCCAACTTCTCCACATCCTCACCGGAATTGATTAATTTCCATTTGTTTGCTTGTGTTTCATCATAGCCATTCATTACATCCATTAGAGAGGGTGCAAAGTGGTTTTTAACAGTTATGTGATTCATCTGGTTTCTCTACAATGTATCTTCCAGTCTCTACCCTATTGTTGACCTTTAGGTTGTTTTGAAATTGCTCTTGTTGTTACTAAACATAGGATGAAATTTTTATACAGTATATAAATCTGTAATTAAATATCATGATTTCCTCAGCAAAGTTCCTCAAACCAATCATCTGGTTTTGCAGGTGAAGAAGCTGTGTTAGTAAGAGCTGAAACCAGAGCTCAGGTTACCTATACCTTAGCCAGTGTTTTCCTTCGATTTTTTCATGGGGTTGGGTCAGTGTTTTAGATGTAAGATGGATACCAGGTTAGATGGAACTCAGCTAAACACAGTGAATTCTTTAGCATTGGGTCTGAAACCCTGTGGAACCAATGGTTTCACAGTCCTGTCGAGTACTATGTCCACTCACACTATTTTGTCCTAAATGGAAAAAGGGCTGCACACACAGCAAAGCTCTATGTGTCCACAAGCACTGTTGCACACTGTGTGCCATCAACAACTTTACAGCATAGTTTCAACATAGTCTACCACAACTTCATCAGTTCTGCATGGCCACAAAGTCTTAGTGAAGGAGGTTCAGCTCAATCATACTGGGTCAGTTGCCTCTCTGCAGCATTGCCTTTCCACCTCCATGGTATTTTGTGCTTGGGTAGGAGAATGCAACAGAATTGTGCTGTCATTGGTAGACCTCTATTTAAATGGTGTTTTCAATGAGGTTTGAGCTGGTAAAAGAGTGAGATCCAATGGTACATTTTAAAATTTTTAGTGAGATCCCAAAAAGAAATATATCCAGCCACATACAGTGCATAAAACTACAGTCTGTTTCCCCTCTAATTGGTAATAAATGTAAATGTTTAGTTATGCCTGACTAGGGAGCTATGAACAACACATCTGTCTGACTGCTTTTTCAGTCTTCCCAAGGACTGCAGCATTTATACCATCTGTAGCTTGTGCAAGAAAGAGACAGAGAAAAAGTGAGACCGAAATTTAGAGAATGGATATTACTAGAAGTGCATAGGAAATTGATTCAGTCAACAAATATTTATTGAGCACCTATTACAGACTATGCATGTCAGGCCAAAAAAAAAAAAAAAAGGATGTTGTTGAGTTTGAGTTTGATAATAAATCTCTCCCCTTCCTAAATTCTAAATCCATTGATGAGGTAGGGGGACGTTAAGCAAATGGAGATATAAATGTCAAGTTTATTACTGAAAACAAATACTGGTGAATGAGGCTTAGGCTACAATAATAATGGGTTTCCTAAGAGTGAGCTCTGGAATCAAACAGGCCCACCTGCCCTGACACAGAGCTGACAGAGGATTGCAGGGCTTACTCATGAGGGCAGAGCACAGACTACTTATCTGGAGGCCTGGTTAGAAGAAGAGCAGGCAGGCTCGCTGCAGGCCAGCAGGGCCCCAGTGAGGTAGAGGAGGGAAAGGGGCTGGCTGCAGGCCAGTTTTACTTCTTAAATGGGTCAGAGGAGCCAAGGGGATGGAGAAGAGCCAGACATACACAAAAATACTGTGGATCTCAGGCCTGTTAATATGTTAGGGTTACCTGGGACTCCATCCTCATGCCTAGAGAGTCTGATTCCATTGACTATGATTGGGCATGGGCTTGGATATGTATTTTTAAAAACTTCCTAGGTAATTGTAGGTGTACATCCAGGGTTGAGAATCATTGTCCTAATAGAACATATGTGGAAGGAGCCCCTGCCATCATCCCATGCACTCCACTAGATACAATGATCAACGAGGGGTAGTTCTTACCTTCCAGAACCTCTCTTTCTCCTGATAGAGAAGGCATGATAGCAACAGTGCTGTTTGCCAAGGGCCGCAGGCACTCAGAGGATGGAGAGACCAAAGGCCCAGGGTTCCAGAGACCTTCCCAGCTCCATGGGTGGCCTGGGTTCAGAAGATCACCCTGGCAATTGTGGAAGAGGCAACATAGCAGAAACATGGATGTTTGAGAGGCCTCTTCTGATATTGCAATAGATCAAGAGACTATACTATAAAAATGAAGCAAGGTGGCTAGGGACACAGATTGCTCATTAATTCGCATCCTTCAGGGTTCAGCCTTAGAATAACAAGCCTTCTTCTTGAGAGCAGGCTGCCTGTGGTCTGCCTGGGCCATATGTGCAGCCTCCACTGGGGGCCATGGTTCTGTGTGGAGGAGCTCAAGCTTCTTGAGGTCATGCTGAGGATGAGGGGAGAGGATGAATATAAGGTGCACAGCTTGGCACCTGGCATAGAGTGCCTGCTTGCTAGGTGTTAGGTGCTGCTGCTGCTGTTGGTTCTGAGAAGCAAGAAAGCTGCAGCAGCATAGGTCTCTCCTTGGCTTGTTGGCTTGAACTCTGACTCACCTGTATGAAAGCAGAGCTTTAGATGATTTGTGATGGGCTCACAGTTTTTCAGAAATGCCACAGATATTTTACTCCATGTTTTAATCATCAGTAATTGGAAACAACAACAAAATGCTGAGGATACCTGAACATTCCATCTTAATGAGTTTTATTGATAGTTAGACCAAACCAGGATTCAAAACCAAATAAGCATGTTTCCCATTTCCTTTAATCCTCATAACTACTTTGTGAGATACATTTTATAATCCCATTTTATAGATAAGAAACTGAGGTTAAGAGAAGTTAAATAATTTTTCTTATGTCAACTTTTAAGTAACAAATGAAGGATGAAAACTCAAGGCTCTGGTTTCACATCGGACTCTGTTTTGATTATACTACAGCAAGATTATGGTGCTTTTTGCTTTTAGAGAGAAAAGGAGGAAAAAAAGCATAATTCTAAGTCAAGTCCTTCAGAGGAACATGCCTACAAGATGTCTTTGTGGTATAGAGAAATAGGGTTATACTAGTTTGAGTATTCTTGCTGGGCTCTATTGTCTAGAATAGTCACTATTTCTCTTTTATAAATGTGGAAAATCTGTTTTCTGAAGGTGAAAGTAAATTAACATTCACACTCTGCAAATTTATTTTTCAAGGGGCCTATACGATACTCTGAAGACTGCAAAAAAATAAGAACTTCTGGACTCAGAGTCATGTTTTTTCACAATTTAATTGTGTGCCATGTATCTTGGATCAGTATCCTCATTATATGTTTTATGTGCCTGCAGACAATCCATGAAATGACATGACAAATATTGGCCATGAATTCCTTAAAGTTGCACTTGTGCCTTGCGTTTGACAGCTGACTTTTGACTAAAGGAATGAAAATGTTGGAGGAGATCAATATTGTTGAATTCAAAGGGTAACAGAGATGCTATGCTGTACTTAGGGAATACCCTTGGAGGATGACAGCCTTTAAGAGCTACAGTCTGACAGGGAAAGGGAGCCTGAGAAGGGAAGGGAGGTGGTCTCATCTTTCCCAGGGCCTGGTGACAATGTTTTTTGCTATAATATAAGTGCTGGATGCCTTTTCTCATCTTAATTTCAAATTGATTCTTCATTTTGAATCAGTTAGACATTGCGCTGTAGCAGTCCACACAATATCACTTGTCTTCTGGGCCTTCCTGGAGGTCATATCTTGGCAGCACTTCCAGCTGACTTGCAATTATCTTCACTCGCTTTTTAAAGAGGCATTTGACAAGCAAGTTCACTGCAAAGAGAAAGAAATGGTTGCTACATATTTTTCCATGACTGTCACAAACAAATTGGTGTCTCAATGAAGCTCCTTTCCACTTGGCAGCCTCAACTCAATTCAATACACATTGATGGAGATCATCCTCTGTTTGGGACATTGCGATGGACAGTGTAATAGTTTCAAGGCTAAATAAGCCCCAAGCCTTGCCTTCCAGATGGAAGCATTGTAGTAGGGACTAAGAGATGTACATAAATAACAATAGCACAATGGAGTCTCCATTGTCTAATAACTATGCGCTGCTTTTAAATCACAAGAAACTTCATCATCTTGGCCTTGGACATATGTCTTGCCCTCCATACTATTTAAAATAGGTTTGGCCAAAGATAAAAAGGTAAGAGATAGCATATAATTGCACCACTAACCACCCTAAGTCCCCCGAATTCTGCTGCTGGTGCATGAGAAATTTTATTAGAAGTGTTTCTGAACACAAGATGTGAAATATCAGGAACTGTGAATGATGAAGAACTAGAAACACTCGTATTTTGTAATGTAGGGACATTCTGATATTATTTTAGGCCTAAGAGTTCCTTATCTAGACTTAAGTTTCAGCCTCTTAAATGATATTTTGGATCAGTTAATATTTATGAAATACCTACTATGTGCTCCCCACTTAGCTAGGTCTTACAGGGGAGGTACAAAGATAAATAAGAATTGTTTTGACTTTAAGGAGCTTGCAGCCTTGTGAGGATATAAAAAACAAATAATTTCAATAGCTCCTGTTGGGTGCTTTAGATAAGAAATCATGCTGGGCCCTGTCTTGGCAGAAAAGAGGGGTTTATGGCCCAAGTAGTGGGTCAGAAAGGCTCCCCAGAGAAGCAGCTGTTCCTCTAATCCTTGAGGGTATTAGAAAGGTGAAGAAAGTTGAGAAGGGAAGTCCAGGTAGAGGGGAAAAGAAAAGGCATAGAAGACAAGCGTATGTGGTGTTTAGGGAGAATTCTTGACTTTGTTTTCTTAGAATTAAGTGCTACTCAAGAAAGATTACCAGAGGGAGGTAGGTCAGGCAAAAGGAGGCTTCAGGTAGCATGCCAGGTGTTTGCGCTCCATCGTAATGGAGTTGTACTGAAAGTGCCCATGACTGCAATGTAGATAAGACTTAAATGAAGCAAGGCAGGGGTGGGAAAACAGGCACCCAGTTCAGGAGGCTACAAATAAGAGGTTATAAAGGCCTGAGTTAGTGCTGTGAAAATAGAGGTGAAGGAAATGGTAAAATTGGCAGAGTTGAAAACTGATTGGATCCAAGTATCAAGAAAGAAAAGGTCTAAAATGGCTCTGAGGTTTGGAGCTTGGATGACTGGATTGATGGCGGTATCATTTACAGGCATTGGAAAGAACAGAGAAGAGAAGGCTGGGGGAGGGAGAGGAAAATCTAATTTGGGATAGGTGTTGAAATAAGAGGTGTTTGTGAAACAACCGGGAAGGTGTTGACGAGGAAACAGGAGGTTCACATCTGAACTTCAGAGAAGAGCCAAGGGCTGAAAATACCAGCAGAGACCCTGTCTTCTTCTAGTCTGCCTCTCTTAGATCAGAGCTCAGGAAGGAGTAAGCAAGAAAGTAAATAATACATGTCTAAGATTGATTGCTTGGGGGCTGTGGGAGAGAACTATTTGCTCTAAAAGAGAAAATAAAATCTTTTAATATTTTCTATGGCTTAAATTCTGCATTACAGAAAAATACTTCAGACCAGAACAGAAGTTGGCTGTTAATCTCAGCCTGAAAGCATTTTTTCCACTACCTATATTTGGTGTCATTCAGTTTATTTTTGGAAACCATTGGAACTAACTTTGGAGAGTCTTCTTTTGGAGTTTATCCAGGGGCAGGTGACCTGGATAGTGAAGTATCTGGAAATTCTTTCATATGAGGATTAATTTAAATACTTGCAGATATTTAGTCAGGAGAAAGACATCATACACATACACAGAGCTATATTGGCATACATAATAAACGCTTCCTTCAAATATTGAAAGGGTCGTCACATTAAAGAAATAATAGACTTATTGAACATACCTCCAGCTGATCAATGAGTGGAAGTTATATGCAGGTAGAGTTCACTTTTACTCAATAAATGATCATTAAACACCCAGATGTAGTATCCTCCTTTCTAATATAGGAGTCTAACAAGCAACAAGATAGATAAGGTCCCTGTTCTCCTGGAGTTCATATTCTAGTGATGAGGAGACAGATAATCAACAAGATAAATGACTTTATACACTGACAAGTAGTGTGGGGAAAGGAATGTAATATTAAGAAAAAGAGTAAGACCAAAGGGGGAATGTGAGGGCGGGGGCAGAGCTCTCTAGGCTGGGTGCTGGGGAAGTCCTTCCAAGGAGGAGACATTTTGAGATCAGAATGACAAGAGCCAGCCAATTCTAGAAAGAGCTTTCTGGGCTAGGTAAACTCAAGTGAAAAGGCCTTCGGTCAGGATTGAGGCTGAGCTATTGTAGCAAGAGAGCAGGGTGTGGCTGAGGGAAGGTGAATGGGAACGTAGTACCAAGATGAAATTGGATGGGTAGGCAGAGGAAGCTCAGAAAAGGCTTTCTGGATTTTGATTGTGATGGGAGATTACTACGTACATTTTGCATGGGCAGGACTTGTTCAGGCAGCAAATTATCTAAATTATACTTTCAAAAGATCACACTGGCTATTGAGTACAGAACAGAGTATGTGGGAGTTTACACAGAACAGTATTCGAGAGGACAGAGGAAGTAGATTGGAGTAGAGTGGTAATGTGGTAGAGAGAAATGGATTGGTTCCAGAAACATTTAATATATAAAGATCACAGGATTTGCTGAAGAATTGGATGTTGATGGGGCCATGAGGAAAAGGGGGAATGAAGGAGGACTCTTAGGTTTTTGGCTTAAATGTTCCATTGGATGGTGCTGCCATTTGAGAAGATAGAGAAAGAGTGGGAGGAACAGGTTGTAGACAACAGAGAGGGTTAACAGTTATGTTTTGGATATATTATATTGAAATTCCAATTTGACTCACACGTGGATGTATCATGTAGGAAGTTAGATGCATGAGTCTGGAGCTCGGGGAGGAGGTCCTGGTTAGAGCAACAAAAATTGGAAATCATCAACACATAGATGGGACATGAGCCATGTGAGTAGGAATGGAAGGAAACAGAAGAGAGACCTCAAAACTGAGCCTTACAAGTGTTTAACATTTAGAGACCAGTTAGAGGAAGCAGAGCCAGTAAAAGAGAAGGCCAATCATATAAGATAAAAACCAGGAGAAGGTGGCATAATGAAAATCAAAAGAAGAAAATAATTAAAGAAGAGGAAGCCATTCAATTTAAGGAAAATTCTGCAAAATTTAGATTTAGCCTATCATGGATGGAAACTCACAGTCCCCTGTCAAGGGAACAGGGCACATTATGTTTCATATCTCTCTTCTTCTAGATGATAAAAACAATGTATTAGATGATAAAACAATGTACACCAGCAGGCAAATGCCACCCAGGCCAGCACTGACTCAGAAGAAGGGACACAGAGATGTCTATCAGTTGCTCAAGGCTTGTCTTCTGGACACTCTTGTTACAGACATTACTGTGTTCTTAGAGACTCTTCTCCCTAATTCTGAGTCCTTGCCTTGTTCTCAGGTCTTCAGGGATTTTACTGATTCTTGCAGTCATCTCTCTCAACTAGAACCACTCTGGTTGTCTATCGATGTCCCGCCCTGGCCTGAGCAGACTACTACTTCCAAGATTTAGTTAGGTCCTTGTCCAATGCTACCTCCGCCTCCCTTGTCCTTTCACCCATCATTACCACCACGGTTACTTCCTGATTATAGACCAATTCTCAGATACAGATCCATGCATCTTGTATGACCAGGCCCTTAAACTTTGTCCAGCACCATAGATCTTTCTAGATTCCATCAGCTAGTTGCATCTGGTTTGGGACAGCTCACAGTGCCAGAATCTGGTTCTGATCATCATGAGTGAAAAAGCTTACGTGGGATGAACCATCCGGAAGGGGGTCCTACCTTAAAGAGCAACTCTCTCATGTGAGAATGTTGTCTGGATAGCCTTTGAGGACTCTTCCAATGTAAGAATCTGGGGCATTTTCAAATATAATGTAAATAAATGAATCTCGGTTCCTTTTTAGGGAATCATTTAGAAAGCAAACATTTAATGAAATACAATTACTTCTCCTTTTCTCTAGCATATGATTATTCACATTCTGAAATTCGGTTTCTCTATTTCCCGCATATGTTTTGTTTTAGGTTGAGGGATCTCTTATTTGCTGACAGGATATTTTGCTTCAGGCTAGTATATTGCTACTCAGGCAGAATTCTAAATGACAAGATTGTATACAAGAATGTACAGTTTCTTCTGGTCAAAGCTGACCTCCTAAAATTTTCTCGTATGTCCTAGACACTCAGTAAAAACTGAATGAATTGAACTGAAGCCTTTTAAAAAGTGGCTTCCTTGGTAAAGCAATGGTTGGCGTTGGTGTTCATTACCAGGATCTGGCCTGTGATGGGAAGAGGAATTTTTGTGAAGCACAGTCTCTGTTTCTCTCATCTATTCTCCTGTCAACGTTCAGATGACAGGTTGATGCTTTCCTGTGTGTAACTAGAATGCTGACAAGAATCATAAATTATAGATTTGGGAAATCTCAGAATATTTCTGCACTTTTCTAGTAAGCGGCATCATCACAGTATGTGTGTGTGAGGCGGAGGCATGTCATATTGCCTTGTTCCCTGTCCCCTCCCACAGCCACACTTAATGCAATGTAGGCTTACAAAGGCCTGGGTAGGGGAAGATACTTTTGTATATCTAACACAAAAGTCATTTGTAGTTTGCATATTTGTGTTGTTTGACCCAAAGAGGGTTGTTAAAACATTAAAGGCCCGGCATTCTCCAGTCCTCACTGTTCTCTATTGCTCCTCACCTGCCTCATCCATTTTTGCTACCTGCTAGGCATGTGGATGCCTTTAAATGTATAAACCTGGTC